GTAAGGCATCATTACCTCCCTATGGATGGCCTCAGTGGGTGAGGGTTCCCCAGGCTGTGCGCTCTTCTGCAGGTAGCAGTCGACGGCTCTCCTACATCGGCAGACCTCGCTTTCCACGTACGCTCGAACTCTAACAAAATCTTCTGTTACTGTGAGGTAGATTCCAGCTTGCGGAAACTCGGCGATCTTTCCGAAGCTGTCGCGGTGATCGTATAGAGCCTGGATGCGGTCCTTGACCGAAGGTCCACCACCTCCGAGCTCAGAGCAGGCTTGCCTTGACATTACGACGAATTGACTTGACGGGAGAGGTGCAAGATATATTGGAAAAAATGTGAAGGATGTCCTGCTGCCATCCAGCAGCCTTCAGTGGTATAAGTACGATTCGCTGACAGTCGACTTGTCTATCGGATGAGAGATGGCATCGCAACAAGGACTACGGACCTGTCGCCACCCTTCACTCCTCAAGAGCCTCATTCTGAGCTGTCAGGCAGATATGCGACACCAGAATGCCGCGCCGAAGCGCAGAGTATGCATGAGTTGGCCTTCAAGAGATCGAATCATTGCCCCCATGTCTCACCATCCACTACACCGCTTGAGGCCATCTCTGGGACCACATCAGTTGGACGCAAGCAAGTTCTCACCGGAAATGGGACTGTAGACGTCGCAATAGGCTCGACGACGAGCCCAGGGAACGACGCGGTTGCACATGGGTCGAGACAGCCACATGTATGATCCACGCGCGAGCAAGGGCTATAGCAAGCGCTGTATTCCGTTGCCTTGGGAGGCTATGCTGATGCGTTAAAAGAGTCGACCGGGGTCGTGGGATGGTGTGTAGACATGCATGCCGAGGGGACATTCCCTGGAAGTTGAGCATTACACGCTATGATGGCTGGCTCGACCCGTGCCGAGAGCTCTGCGCGGAATGATTTGCAGTCGTAAGGATATCGTCAAAGATTGGAGTCGACGGCTATGGGGAAGCAGCGCTGAAGCTCTTCACTTTAGTGCTCCGGCTAGTTGGCAAGCGAACCTTGGGGCCGAAGACCGCCAAATCTCGACAACCCCGCCGTCGAGAGTCACCATCTACGCTCTCAAACCGGCAAGCTAGAACCGCTGTTACTTCGGGAGCGGCTCACAGAGAGTGCGCGAATGAAAGTAAGGCAACAAGCACAATTCATCCCGGATTGTCGCGCAATAGAGTCCCGAGGTCTTCCAACAGCGACAAAATGGCCCCGGATCGACATTTCCTGTATGCCGCTGGCGCGCTTTCGCGGTATCAGATGGCTCTACCTCGCAGCAGTAAACGCTGTGCGACAATGGCGTTCTATGGATCACGATGCGCTGCGTCTATCAGACCAGTACGCTCATGACATTGCCTTCCTACGAGACGGTGTCCGGGGTTCCACGTCAACTGCACCAAAAGCCATGCGCCTGGCTATTTGCGATGATGTTGCCACCACCACGATGCCAATATTGATGACAAGCGCCCAAGTCTGCAGTACGAACGGATCCTTCGGCCTCGATAGACAGCGAAGACAACCATTACACAATTAGAAGCCGAATGACATCTTGTACCGGCCCTCCTCTACTGGTTATCCATGCCCCTTGGGTATTCGTGTTGTTCAAGCAGGATTGGTGGTTATGGAGGCCTACACCGCCTCTGCGCTGGAGTTTTCAGCCTCGTCGTTGTCATCTCGTTTGCGAATCGAGGCTGATTGAATACCTCGTTCATCACTGCAGTCTTCTCCATTGCTACTGCGGCTATGTGCATGACGCTCGAAATCTTTGTCTCGCAGGAGAGAGCAAGTACGCTCAGACATATCGCATACAGAAGCTGACATCACGCCTGACCTCATGACTTATCCCAGTGGAGCAGAAGGTCGTTGGGCTAAGAATCTGCAACAGTAGGTACTAATTGAATGCAGCGTAGCGGGCGAATACATCATAACACAGTGCATCGTGAAGAAGGTTCATAATCTATAGAGACCGTGGCATCCACCAAGTTGAAGCTGGCTTGTCATAATACCGTCTAATGCTCGACATGAAACAAGTATGTACAATCGCAATAGATCGTCCGTAAGAACAAAAATCGGATAAGAGCGGATGCGATGTCACCGGTGCGACTGTTGGGATCTAATGAGTTTATCATGTCTATCCGAGAGAGCCTCCAAGAACCCAAACCTCGCCATTGGATACCTTGTCGGCGATGCTGGTCACTTCGATGTCAGCAGGTTGAATCTGTAGGCTTGTGTTAGCAAAGAACAAATAGAATTTGGACCAGATTAAGTTAGTCGGTGGGTAAATGCCAGCAAAAATCCAAGAATCGTCAAAAATGACCAAAACATGGGCAAAAAAAGATCCTGGAGTATCTGACTATAGCCAGACGAATGCTGAACAGAGTGGGACTCGAACCCACGCCACTTTCGTGACCAGGAAGTAATGTTAAGAGTAACCTTAACCTGGCGCCATAACCAGCTCCTATAATGTGTTAGATTTGGTCGATTTGAGGGTGTTTGACTAAACTTACGGCCATCTGTCCTTCTCTAGGAGCTGTTGATGGAGATTTGATCAATAGATACAAATATATTGATAGTTGTGTGGGCGTGGGACGAATGGTGGGGCAGTGCCAACCAAAGGGCGGGACTACCGACATAGCGGCATGGCTTACCTTCTTTTGGCCGTCTTTGGACTCCCACCAAATCTCATTGCCGGCAAGCGTCTTGACCTTCTTGCCCTCTTCCCACGGGCTCTCTGGTATGATGTGGCGCTGCACAAAGCGCTCAAGGTTGCCCCGCGCGCGGTCTTGGCCGCTGGTGCCCTCGTACGCGTCCGCGCCAAAACTGTCGTAGTCGTCGGGGTCCTCCCAGGGCTTCCTCTTGAGGTCGCGCATGATGCTGTTGTTCGGTGCCAGCACTGTGGCGTTTTGCGAGGCGTTGTCGAGGCGGCCGGAGACTGCGTCGATGTCACGTGTCAGGCCGCTGAAGATGGCGATGTTCTGCGTCTTGCCGATAACATCGGATATGATGACACCAGTCGTCGCCTGGCCTTCAGGGTTGCTCATGATGTAGTCTCGGAGAGGTGACTGTTCGCTGAGGATGTTGAATGACTGGATGATGCTATCGAAGGGGCGGGCTTGCGCAGATGTGGCAAGGGTCAGGGCGATGGTTGCGAGAGGGTATGCGACGAAAGAGACGGGCTTCATGATCGTTCCAGATGGTGCATTAGGGTGTCGTTACAGGTTCTGGGTGAACGCGGCGTTGAAGATGGGAGCACAGACGTCATGCCGCGGTGAAGCCAAGACCTCGTGACCACGCGACGGGTCCACTGGTGCCTTCCGAGCTTGGGGACCAACTCTTCTTTTCCTCACATGCCTTCACCAACGTGACACCCCGCGCCCTGGAGCGCGTCTAATCCAGTCGCTCCGCAATCTACACATCAGCCATGGAGCTTCAAATACCAACCGTCACTACCGTGAGTACAGCAGTCAAGTATCGCGCTCGTAGCCAGTCGCTAAGTAGCTCAGGACGACCTACGCGCCTTCCATGCGCAACACTTCCCACACGCGCCGCCGCCAGAACACATACTACACGGCTTCGAGCCAGAGGTAGAAGTAGTTGAAGGATACTACAACGAAGCCGATGATGGGCTGGGCTACTACCCCGACGGCACGAAGCGCACCCTGACCGACGAGCAAATCGCCATGTTTCGACACTCTGAAATCCATGCAGTGCTCCGCAAACGGCGAGTACGGAAGGAAAATGGCGAAATCTCTGACGACAACGCTGTCTCTACAAGTCCAGCGCCGGCTGTTCCACCCACGCAAGAAGACCCCTCGCGCACGGCTGATGTCGACAAGACGCTGCCTGATGCGTCTGCAGAACCGAAGAAGCAACAGTGGGCGACCAACAGTGCCACGTCAAAAGCCAAGGCCAAGAGAAAGCGGGATAGATACGCGAAGAGGAGGAAAGAAAGAAGGCTGGAGAGAGGCTTGCCGCGTAGACGGAGCGGGCGCGACGGCGCAGACAGCGGCGATAGTGACGATGGAAGCGACGAATGGGACGCCTGGCACCAGGCCAACGGGCCCGACGTGCAAAAGGACGAGACCCTCGATCTCGACTACTGAATGGACAACAGCGACAACTGCTGGTCAATCATTCAATCGATGCAGTAGCTCATCCACCCCAACTGCTGGCTTGGAACAGATACAACACACTTGACCGGCCTCAAATCGTAAGTACATTTCTTTCTTCACTCTTATATGCAATGATGAAACCCTAGTTATCATCCTTAGGCGTAGCCGGCGACAGGCTTGAGACGAGGGTGAAAGACTGCTTGCGGCCTGATCTCTTGACTCGTCTGGCGCTTTCCAAGACGACTCATAATCTTCTCACTGAGCACCACTTCTCTCCGTAACCACACAGCATACTGTCTGTATCATTGTACTGACTGTTACCAGGACCAGGGTTAAGAAGTTGAAGCGAAGACATGTACCGAAGGCGGGAAAGAGACGCACAGCTGATCAGCAGCTGTGATCGCGCCGAGACATCTCTAGCCGCTTCCTTAGGCTACAGCCACAACACGTAGAATCTATAAGAGTCGGGAGAATTGATTGCATTCCAGCAATCATTTAGGTATACCGTTGTGAGAACAAATTCCTCATTGAAGTCATGAAAGCAGCGTCTTCAATCTATCTTCCTGGTGCACTGAGACCTTATCCAGAATAGCACTAATATCGAAGGCAAAAAACCTCGATATCCAGCAAAAACTTTTGATAAGTAGCTAAATGGGAGGTCGCCGCAACGCTGTCAAGTGTCGCCATTTTATACGTGAGTGCTTCTGCCGTGTTGGACTTGAGTTGTTCGGCGAATGAACCGTCTCCAACCCGTCGAATGAGATAGCCTAAAAATCTCATTATCAAGTGATTCGAACGACTGCAGGATCGACTATAGCTTCATTAGCATGGTTCTATGCGGACAGCTTCATATCTGGTCGACTTACAAGTTTCAACGACCAGACCATGGTCGATTGGTCTGGTGTACCTTTACTTCGACCGACATTTCTCGGATGCTTGGTTCGAGGTACTCGTGTACAGCCTCCTCCGTTTTCTCGCGGGTCATAATTGGATCTTGGGCCGAGTATACTTCAACTCGCAGCTCTTGCAACGCGGGGAGCGAGTCAGCAAGTATAAACTTGTTGCGCACAAAGAAGAACTCTGTGAGCTCTATGACGCTTTCGGGCGAAACGATGTCGAATTGTAGTATCGTGATTTGTTTGCGCTGCCGTAGCTTGAATCTTCCGAAGGATCTCTTTGCCCGCTGGACAGAAGATATGGAGAATACCGTGAGAGCCAACGGCATGATTGCGGTTTCGGAGTAGATCTGACGACAGGTTCTCAGAAGAGCAGTGGCGTTCTTCGGCTCTGCTAGTGAAGGATAGAACTTCCCTCTCGCATCTGTCTTATATAATTTCCCTCCCAATGCAAGCTTCCAGATTGTATTGCGGATTTCAGCAGGCATACGAAGCAGCGGAGAACTCTCATTTTGTTTGACGCTGACAGACTGTTAGCTATTGCTCTTACAGAAAGACTGGTTACACTCACAGCTCTTTTTCATCACCTTTGGGCGTGACATTTAGTAAGCCATTTCGAAACTTGTGGTATCCGCGCGCTGGTCGCTTGATGACTTTGTTTGCGGTCTTTTTGGTGACAGGGGCCTTCGGGGCTTTGTCGCCGGCGACGGTCTTGCGGGGCGCCATTGATGGTTCAGGTCGTTGGAATTACTGAGGTTGTTCCAGCAATGCGCGGTGTTCTGGGTTGGGGTACAATCAAGAGATTGATTGACCTTTGAGGTAAAAGCGACGAAAGACCTGGCAGCGGAGGACTACTACGAAGGCAACAGCGTAAGACTAGCGTGTGACCGTGCGTTGAGCGAATCGGCAAGCACGTGGCAGTGATCAGAGATTGGCGAGGGGAGGAACGATGTTGATGGTGATACGAATCACTGGGTATGGGTTGCTACCTAATTCACGCCGCATCGTCGCTCACCTCACGCGACATGTGTGAGCGAGCGCCGTTACTGTTGGAGACGAGGATGGTTAGTGGACTTTACCATCTACTTCGTGCTGCTACTTGACATTATATCTCGTCTCACCCACCTTCGCCTCCTACATCACGCTCGTCTCAGGTACTTCATCTCTTCTGACTCACCTAGTAAGCCCGACCTGCGCCTTTACCTGACCGCTAGGCCCGACAGTCCCACAAGTAGAACTCGACTCTACTCTTTTCCTTACACATCTACTCTACACTTTCCAAATCATCGACAACCTCGTTATGGCATCCCGAATGCCTAACCAGACTGCGACCGTCGCCAAGAGCATGAAGGCTTCCACTGGTGAAGGAGTAGCCAAGCGCAGTCACAAGAAGCTTCGCTTTCATGCAAACGGCCTGCTCAATGTTGAGCAAAAGACGGGGAAGTACCTCAAGATGTCAGTATTTCCATCGACTTGGGTTCAAGTGGTTCACTGACTTGAACACAGCGCGAGACAGAACCAGCGGAACTCCCCATTGTTGCGGTTGCCAGCAGAGATTCGCCACTTGATCTTCGGATACGCACTTGGTGGCAAGACATTCCACATCGATTACAACGAATATCAAGGCATCGCAAAGAATATGACGGTCTCAAAGAACACCCTTGCTCTGCTCGCTGTCTGCCGACAAGTCTTTGCTGAAACCGCTTTGCTACCCTTCAGCTCGAACACATCCTCAGCTATACATCCCCAAGTGTTCAATATGTGGATCGAATACTTTCCCTCGGTTTTTGCTGAAGCTGTCACTTCGGTACGCCTCTATCCCTGCGTAGCGTCCTCTCCTCCGGAGCAATGGCTCGACCTTCACGACGGCATACCAGGTATGTGGGATATCATGGTCGACCACGGAGACAAGCGACTGTCTTCAAATTTGACCTCTCTCAAGAACGTACAGCTTGTTGTGGGCATAGTGATAAGAGATTTCACGCAAGATGGCAAGAAGCTGCAAGAACGCGGTTGGCAGTTCATGAAAGGTCTGTATGAGACAGAGAACAGCGAGATCAAATTCGTCAGGAGTGAGAGACAGCCCTTGTACTTCTAAGGGTTGAGGTGGTTGCTATTTTTCTTCTCCTCTGGCAAAAGTACACTGAAAGTGGTCTGGTTTCATTGCGAACGTGCGAGTCAAATACCCCATCTTACCCACAAAACTCTTTTCATTTCGTATTTCCTTTCACTAGCAGTATAGATCTATCATATCCCAGAGTGGGCGATCTTTCACCCTAAGCAGCCCTTTGCTATGATATAAAAGAATATCTTTGGCTTGATTGTTTTCTCTCCACCGCCCTACCAACGCATCCATTATACTTTGAACTCAACATGTCGGCCGCTCAAACTACTCCTCAGATCGACACACCTAACGACAAGCCTCGCCGAGGAAAGCGCGGCTACAGAAAATCCAGAGACGGCCTACTCAATGTCAAACCCATCGGTAGCGAGATTGCTATGTAAGTTCAGTTCCATCACGTCAAAATTTGCAATACTAATGCCAGCGTAGCGTACAGCGAAACGCCGAAGAATCGCCCCTCTTACGACTTCCTGCCGAAATCCGCTCCATAATCTGGAAGCTCGCTATTGGAAACCCTATCATCCGCCCAGCATGGGGTGGACCTCTTAAGCCACTCAGACATAGATCCGTGTTTGAGGAGCGTGCGTCTGAATTCCCCGCACCGAGGCACCGCTTCGCCCTCCTTCGTGTCTGCCGCCAGATCTACTCGGAAGCTGCTGCGTATTCTCGCCATATCAGCGTGTTTCGCTTCTATAACTTCGGCAGTCTACAATATTGGCTCAACCATGCCACAAGTGCTCAGCGAAAGGCTGTCCAGAAGGTACAGTTTGGCCGCTATGAGTACATATTACGAAGGTGGATGTCGAGAAATTTTGCCAAAGAATTGAAGAAATTGCCGAGTTTGACTCAGGTTGAGATATCGTACTATGGGTACAATGCTGAAGTAACTAAGGAGTTACTAGCTGGGTTGGACAAGATGAAGGGGAAACTCGATAAAACCATGAACGTGAAGCTGGAATACCAAGCTCGGCAAGGTAGTCATGATTGGATTTGGACTTTCTTGCATGGAGATGACTTCAACGTGCAATGAGGAGATAGAATTTTGCTGTAATTACCTATAATCGAATATTGGATACGTGGTGTCGACGCGCATGTCATTGACGTCTCGAAGCCCAGTCCATCTTGAACATCTTTCACATTTGCCAGATTTCTGACACGCGTTGACGAATGTAGTCTTGCGACTGTACCCAACATTGCCGATGAATCTCCGCTTTACGAACGAAGCTACCGTATTGCCCCGAGGCGGAGGCCCAGATGGCACTTTCCCCGTCCTCATGCCTAAGGGTGTCGGGATCGTCTGGTCGGTATACCACCTACACCGTATTGAGTCCCTCTATGGTCCAGACGCAAAAGTGTTCCGACCAGAAAGGTGGGACAGTGGCGAGTTGATTAAGAAGGCTCGTCCAGGCGCTGGATTCGTCGACTTCAATGGCGGCCCAAGACTTTGTCTAGGTAGTAAGCGAATCACCGTGTGTTTCCGAGTCGCGAAGTGCTGATTCCTGATAGAGGATTACGCGTTGATGGAAGCTAGCTATGCTGTGATTCGGATACTTCAGGTCTTTCCAAACATCCGGATTGCCTCTGGGGTTCCGAACGAGCCTGTTGGAGCGGAAAGGCAGACATACACTATTGGCATATACCCGATGGATGGTGTGCACGTGAATTTGGATTGATGCAAGCGGTGTTCTGGGTGTTCTTGGCGGTTGTAACAGGGTTTACGCAAAGAAAGTGGGACTCGCTTACTGGCCATGCGGCGAGGAAGGGGCGCGCGGAAGGCGACCGTGGTACGCTCGGCTCACATGTCACTCTTGTGGGAATGGGTTCTGGCGATCTTAGCCCGCTTGAAGCTTGCGAAGCGTCCAGCAGCTCGTGAAAGGAGTCGTAGTCGTTTGTTGTAGTACCTGCGGGCTTGGATGACGCGTTACTTTTGTACCTGTATATGATTGGTATTTCTCAACTCGAACCTTGTCAACGGTGGAAAAAAAGGTTTTGCCCCTCTCTATGGCATGATTCGTGGGATTCGCGGGTATCTTGTCGCACAGATAAGGACATTCGTGCAGCTCGTGGCTGTCATGCATGCAGCCACCACCCCGAATGGATATCTTTCCGCCTCGCCACATTCTCAGCCTTGCATGCTTACCATGAAAGATATAGCCGCCATTGAACCTCTGGTCTTTCTTGGGATCGTTTGCGAAAACCAACAGCCTCGCAACTGACGCGTAGCGACGAAACGCCGTTTGTGTATAGATCGAGGATATGGCTCCAAAGGCCCCGGCAAAGAGCTTTTCCAGCAGGATGCGCGAATGCAAAGCGATAATGGTAGCCTTGAAGTAATAACCTAGCGGCTACCTCTAGATCAAACTGACAATGCCATCAGAGAAAGACTCGTGGTAGTCGCCAAGAATATATACGCCAAGATTAGACACCGTCCAGCTGTGGCAACCCGGCCGGGCTTGAAGTTCGCCGACTATTGGATGCTAGCCATTCGTATGTCTGCCATCGGAATTGTAGTCACCGGAATCTCGCTCGGAGCGATGCGCACATACATCTCCATAGGCCTAAGCCGTGTTTTCGGTGAAGAAGTAGATGCGGATCTCAAGCTAGCCTTTCTTGGTTTCTTCAACAAAAGCCTCGATGTCCTCTTGGTGAGCTCTTTGGAATATATGGCTTCATTCTTTATCACAGTCTGGATGGCTCAGACGCCTGTAATGGGTGATAGGCGTGGTGTGAAGTACAGCGACTTTGGTCTGAGAGAGGAGTTGACAAAGCCGTGGATGACTGTCAGCAGCTTTGTCACAAGGTGGCGAAGGTCTAGCTTGAGCTGGAAGAGCGTTGCCCGCTGTTTGCTTTGTCTTTGCGTATCTGTCTCGGTTATGTTGCAAGGCTTGGCCGTGAATACTGTGGCGATACCGAAGAAGCGTTGGTATCCTAACTACCAGAACGGTTGGAAAACGACGGCACATGATCGAGCGACAATGAGAATCGAGTATCCTAAAGTATCACTCCTCGGCGTGGACTGGCTAAACATCCTTGGTGTCGGCCAATCCAATATTGGAGGGGAAGGCTACCCACCATGGGACTGGGCGCTCGGCATGTCCGCTTCTCTCGCGTTCACCGGCTTAACGCATGTTGTGTCCACGGTAAAGGAAACGCAGAAAGGCTGGAGGCATGTGTATAATTACCGGCTGGACGGAGATTCATGGAAGCGCTGGACTACACTCAATACCGATTTCGGCATATCAAATGGGTCAGTCGAGACGGCCTCCGCAGACGATGGGCAAGTAACCAGTGTCTACGACTGGCTCAAGAACACGGACCATCAGCCAACATCTTCATCGATCGGTTGGACCGGTAACCTGACGCTCGTACTGCCAGTACTGAACACTGTCTGTTCGCCAATGGATTCGTTGAGCCCGGAGGCGTCAATCGTTGTCCGGCCGCCAGCTAGAAACGGATCGTCGGAAGCGGTAATCACGACCGATTTCGGACCAGTCCCATCACTAGGCTTTGCCGGTGCCACTTGTTCCAGCTTGTTCCGACATGGATTATACGCAGTCAATGTGTGGATCGTGGATAGGGAAAGTCCCGACCTGAGCTTTAACCA